TCTCTCTGGAGGCTAGCATCATTAGCCAAGATCTAGAGCAAACTATCGTCGCTTGAAAAGGGCACTGTGTTACAGTGGATAGTGTTACAAATATGCCTCTGCTTCAATGCGGCTGTACAGACATGGTGCCATCAGAGGAAAGTATCTAGGGCAGTGTTCTTCGGGCCATGGGCTGCGGCCCACTAGTGGGTCGCCAAAAATGACTGCCTAATCATATAATAGGGTAAGTTTTTCTCTTCCATGATTGCAGTGTGTAGGACTAACACTTCAACGATGGGAATCAAGCAGGTATTTACAACACAAGAAGTTAGCGTTTAAAGATGCCAGCTGAAAACGTTGATAAATATTTCACTGAGAATGAGTATGCCATAATAACCCCAATCTGAGTTACAGAACTGTCAAAGTGTTGGTTCTATTTGCGTGAAAAGACTGCCAGTAATAAAACCAAAAAAGAAATGGAATGAACGTTACTACTGCAGCGCTTCGTCTGTTAGAATTAACCCTCCGGTCAGGCATATACGATTTTCTAACCTCTGAGCAACAGCAGATGTCCTATTAACTGAAAAATGTAATGCAATGTTGTGAAATAGGATTTATTAAATAAACTGCCATCTTATATTTGCTTTTGTTTCTGTCTTTAGTTAGCTGTCAGGCGGGCCGCGAAACAGTTTTTTCCCTGTTTTTGTGGGCCGCGGGTGTAAATAGGTTGAAAAACACTGATCCATGTGGCAAACTGACATCCGATGGAAGCTATGACCGGGAGACGACAGGGTAATGGTTTCAGATATGTTTCGCAGCTAAACGTTTAGTTAGCCTGTCGACCCAAAGGTCAGCATCTAGGCAATTTTTTTTTTTTTTTTCAAAAGTGACTTGGATCCCCCAGGTCGATCCAGCCTAGAATTGGTACAGAATAATGTTCTGAAAAGTAAAGGCGACCACATTCCCCATCGACTGCCGACTGATATATAACACACACACACACACACGATATAGGCTACATATGGGTTTAGCACTATATATCCGATGCGCTCAAGGCAGTAAAGGGATCCATTTTTTTTTTAAATCCCGGGTTTATATGTCACTTATTTCTTAAAATAGACATTAAATATTCGAATAATGCGGCAACTGGTGGGGATGGGTTTTGAGTTTTCAGTAAGACTATTGGGACTGTGGTAAACAGCCTTGAGGAGTACTGGGTACGCCGTGCCAGCTCTGTATTTTAGGTAAATCGACACCTGATTGGGTGATGTGGTCAATATAACACCTGCTGACCTTACTTCTCATAAAATTACACGGTTTCCATTCAAGCTTGGTCGACATCAGAGACCAGGTCAATGGGGGGAAAAATGACTCCTCGAAAGGGTTTTCAACACATATCCACCACCAAGCATCCTAGCTACAACGGTGCCCTGTTGGCAAGCTACTTTATAAACATATTTCACGATGACTACAGTTGCAGCCACTCTACAAAACCTCTGGATGGCAAACTATGGGCGTAGGTACACAGTAGTACGTATGCGTATGTATGTTTGTATGTGATTTGAAATATGACACCGGCATTCTTTGTATGCAATACATGTTTTGTTCAGCGCTATCTGGAATATTTGCATTGACTATGTACAGATGTGACTGATATCTTAAGTGACAACATGTGGAACTAGGACAGGCGGTTGGCAGATGGTCTGAGCTGATAGAAGATTAGCAGCAGAACAACTGTTGCACAACAACATAACATACCAAGGCGGTGTTTGTTAATAAAGATCTTTAAATAGTTACATGCATGACTTTGTCTTAAATTATAAATGCTTCATTCTCCAATGCTGGACCCTTTGGAAATAAAACAGCAGAGACTACTTAGCAAAAAACTTTGAGCGATACAAAGCAGCTAGAAGCAGGTTAAACTTATAAGGACAACCCAGATCAAGGCAGCCAAGTACCCTGTGAAATAACACCCCACCCCCCCCACCCCACAAACACAATTGTGAAGATTCAATCAACCTTCTCACTGGAAAGAAGCGGGCCAATGTATTTAGAGTGCAAAACAAACTTTGCAGCCATATAAGACTTTAAGATTCCAGAAAAACTGGCCAAGAAAACAACAAGAAACCCTTTCTCTCTTACCCTTCTACTCCCATGATGTGTTTATGACCATTTTCAGTCAATCTTACAACAACCGTCCTTAATGGCATCTTAAGACTTATATGGCAGGTTTTTAAATTACCACTCTTTGCTTTTTATAACCCTTAAAACATTCTCTGTCCCTGCACAAGAACTAACACTTAGTAGTGTACATCGTGTTATGTGACTCAGAAATCACTCAAATGCACCAACTCCACTGAAAATGAAAAGTTGTAGGGGCCCCACAGTGGGGGTTTGCTGCAGCGCACCACTGTTGTTTTGGGGAATATTAAGAGATGCAACTTCAATTTCTTGTAAAGTGCAACTTCCGTACAACTGTCTGAAAACTACAAGGACTGTCTTATTTTTTTTAGAATGGCTCAGTTTAAACTTTAAAAGTCCAGATTCAATAAAAAGAATTACTTGTGTTCCACAATCAGCATTACTACTTTCATGATGACATGTGGTGCAATCTTCAGTTATAAATGTACAATCTTTAGTTATAAATCAATTTTTTAAAACTGCTTTACCATTGAAGCTCATTACCTAAAAGTTAGCCTCCAAAATATGAGAGTGTAAAAATGAATGCTGTCACTGAGCTCCTATTTATAATTGAAAAGGCTCAAAGACATCACCATTCAGACGCCTTAAAAGATCTCCCAATAACCTGCCAGGCTATATCCACCTGAACGTACATGGAAATTTAGACAAAACTCGCACACTGCAGCTATTCAGCAAGCCATTAAAAATATGCTGTTAAGAGAACAGATTAATGTTATGCCGTGTTGCAGGAGATTCAAAATGTTAGGAAAGCTTGGTTTGAGTGTCTATACTCTAACAGGGAAATAGAAGCACCCCATAACAAGCTTGTCCTAAAGGGTGACAAATTAGAAGTTTTCCATTCAAAGTTAGACTGCATCTGCCTGAGAGGCTATAAGCCAACAGTCTGCATACAAGTAAGCCATATGGGGAAAAACAGGATGTGCAGAAATCATGCCCTGGAACAAAACCAAAGTCCAGAAGAGGGTGAACAACAAGAACTTACAGGTGGTGAATGCTAAGAAGAATAAGCTAAGTAAAATGTATGCGTCACAACACAGCCTTCATAGAGGTCGGTAGTCTTATCATCTGAAACCCACTGGCAGGGACAATTTTCTTCTCGTTCACGGGCTGTTTTCTCAAGCAGAACTTTAGACTTAATCCAGAACCTGAGTGTTGCATGTACATCTCTTTTATATACATCTAACTTATTTGTAAGCATGACTGTTGGTTCCGTGCCTCTCAGGCAGATACACTCCAACTACGAAGGAAACCCCCAAATAGTCTATTCTTGTTTTTCCCATAATGGGCCCAAAACCTACATGGGTAGCAGGGAAAATGAAAATGAGAACGAAAAGAAGAAAAGTTATCTCTGGTTCTGACATTTATTAATCCCTCCACTACCGTTGATGCCAGATCATATCTATGAGTGAGAAAGAGTAGTTTAGAACTCCTCACGCCCCCTCCCTCGGCACAAGCAAACATGGTTCAAATCATGGCATGGATTGTGGACTTTCACAAAATAAGATAAATAAAGTACAATCTTCCCTTTCCTCTGATCATGGTTAGTGCATAAGATGCATAACTTTCTCAGACAAGGGCAAATAAATCCAACCACACACACACACCTACCAACCTAATACCAACCATGCACCTAAACATACACACCTACCAACCTAACTAATACCAACCATGCACATAAACATACACACCTACTAACCTATCTAATACCAACCATGCACATAAACATACACACCTACTAACCTATCTAATACCAACCATGCACATAAACATACACACCTACCAACCTATCTAACACCAACCATGCACATAAACATACACACCTACCAACCTATCTAATACCAACCATGCACCTAAACATACACACCTACTAACCTATCTAATACCAACCATGCACATAAACATACACATACCAATCTACTAAATAATAAACCCACCCCTACATGCTGTCTACCTATATCCTCTTCATGCCATTGCTGACATACAAGGCAATTTTGAAAGTCAGTGCATTTGTATTTGTAATAATCCATTATACTAACAATTTGTTTTAGTTTAATTCTAAATACAGTAATTTTTAAACTATTTATTAAACAAAAAGACAGTGACAATTTTGTTTTTATTAGGAGTTGGTACACCTACTTTTAAAGATCTAATTATTATGATAACACGCACATTTTAATTAATTACAGATTAAGAACATACTGTGACTAATCTCTATGCTTTCTGTTTCTCTTGTTCAGGAATCTACTGTTCTCCTTGTTTTAATTACATTTCGTTTTGTTTTGGGGAGGGAAGAGGAGGGGGTGGGGGAGGGGTCTTGCCATATACTCAAGGGGGCTCAGGGGTCGTGGCATAACTCGGGAGGGGGGTGCGTGGGGGTCTTGCCATGTACTCAAGGGGACTCGGGCTGTTGGGATAACTTGGGGGAGGGGTGAAGGGGTCTTGTCATGTACTCAAGGAAGCTAGGGGGTCTTGGCATAACTCGGCATGTACTCAAGGGGGCGCGATCTGAAAACACTACTGATCTATGGTATCCAATGTTAGTATGCATTCTTTTATTTATCTTTTTTTCTGTTTCTCCAGGTTTCAATAGGTCATCTGTCTCCTTTTTTCATGAGGCATTCCGCAAACATGTCCAAGTCATCTCCATCTTCTTCCTTTGATAATGTTTGCCAGTGATGAACATTTTCTTTACCTCACCCCCCCCCCCCCCCCATCCCAGAACATGTACACACCTATTAAGCCATGAAATACTACACCTAAACACAGGTACTCACTAACTCCATTGGAAAGTTACACAAACATACACACTTTTTACTCACCACTACATCTGTTTTGTTTGTTGGATAATACAGTCTAAAGAATGTCCCATCATTGGAGAGGTCACACATCAAATCCACACATCCAACAGTATGTGGTCCAGTAGGCAGTGGAAGGTGCCGTCGACTGGCACGGGTAAGGTGTCCAGCCTCACCATCACTTATTTCTTGCTGATGCATGCTTTTGTTGTTATTTGCAAAAGATTCTATGAACTGTGACAGTGCACACAACATCTTCACGTCCAGTGAGTGACTGATCACTGTGCAGGAATTATTTCTTATAGATCTGATGAATTAAGAAATTGTCCTTCTTTGATACATGCAGTTTTCTTGAATAATTCCAGAAATTAATTTTTGTTTACCTGCAGAAAAATAATGGTCACAATTCTCTTTACATCTGCACAAAATCTGAAAACTAAAAAATTAATAATAATTTTAGTATTAAAAATAATACTCATGGTAGGACAGTGGTCAGTGCTCTTGTCTGTCATGATAGTGGTCTGGGTTCAAACATTAGCAAAAACATGATTATTTCTTCCGAATGGGGCCATGATGTCAACTGAACCTGAGAAGGTGGGGTGCTTGCCAATTGTCAGTATTTTGTATATATATCTTATGAACACATTTGTGCTCAATGGGTGCCTAGTCATATCTGACCAGCCATCCCTACCCCATACATTTCCCCTGTAATTATTTAAGGCCAGATTAACACGGAGCCATCATAACATTATTACAAATATTTGCCACAATACAGATTCAAACACCTGACTACTGGGGCACCTGGTAAGTGTGCTAGCCACTAGGCTACATTATTCTGGACTTAACAACATTTATGCATTTAAACGTATTTCTTGCTGTGTTTTTATTTCTAGCTTGGCCCATGGAAGCATTAGGTTATATGGTAATCGTCTTCATACTACTTTCTTAATTTGCCTGCAGACTCTAATAGCCAATGAACTGCCTGAGAGAAACTGAAAATACCCAAGAAGGTAAGCACCTCAAGGCCCCCATGAAGATGCCCTACTAACCCACTAAACTGATCCAAAACTATGCCAGCGCAATAAAACTATGTAACTAAAGAATGTAGGTATAAATCTCTGATAAGTACAGGGACCATTCATGTGTTACCAGGGCTAACAAGGGAAGCAAAGAAGAGTAACACTGTAATATGCCAAGAATGTAGTCAGAGGCTCAAAGGATGTTGGAAAGAAACTGGCTTGTCACAAGAAGAAACTAAACAGGGTTGGAATGAGACTGACCACCTGAGAGCATAGAAAACTAAAAGTAAAGCTAAACCTTATCTTCTTAGCATTTCACCAGCTTTCAACTCAGCCAGAAAGTTCTAGTTACTAGTCCAAGTCTTGACTTCGCACCTGTTCCAGAACTTGAATTTTGCATGGACATTCATTTTACAGATCTGGCTTATCTGTATGCAGATTGCTGGTTCCTCAGCTCTCAGGCAGATGCTCCAACTTTGAAGAAAACAACCCTAATTGGTCGCTTTCTCTGACATGCTTGTTGAGGGACAGTGGGTCTATTCTAATTTTCTCCATTATGGGGCCCTGCAACTCACACAGGGAAAAACTCAACCAATCATCACAAATAAACACTCGAGACAAGCGAATTGGTTAAGGGTCAAAGCTCCACAAGGATCTAACTGTCAGAAGAAGAAAGAAGTAAATGGGTTATAAATGGCTAACTTGCACTTTTACAGATATTGACCTAGAAAATCAGTGGGGTGGGATACATCCTTCAACTGGGTTTTTCAAACACCTGACAGAATAGCAAGAATGATGTCAATACTTTCAGGTCACAAGCATGAAGAAGAATTATCAAAGCTCACCCATGTCTTAATGGAAGCAACAACAACAACAAACAGCAAAACTGTAATCTACCATGCACATAGTGAGAAAGGATCAAAGAAATGACTGGAGATTAGATACTTCATCCCATTTAAAAATAGCTGCAAAATTCAACAAACTAAATAAAGAAGTCAACAAATGGCTTGGCATAATTTGACAGAAGGCCAATTCTTCAATGGGAGATGAAAAAACTAGCAAAACTGCAAGACTAATAGTTTCCAAAAAAAGCAACAATTTTAAAATGTATTAAATACACTGAAGGCATATATGCCAAACGGGACAATTGTTTTCAGAATCAAGGCAACACGGTGACCTTTGAGGGAATATTTTATATACACATTGAGAAAAGAACACTATAACCAAAGATTCATTTTTAGGTATAAGAAAGGCCATGAAAAACTAAAGTATCTCAAGTTATAAATCCCTAATCATCGTCAATTTCCACTTCTGCCATCAAGCGTTGTGGGTAGTAAAAGTTTGCAGTACATTGCATGATGGCCAGCAATGGCTACTGTCACTCCGTGTCGATGTAGAAGCTCTTTAATGTCATCAATCTATCTTCTCCTAGGGCAGCCTCTTGATTTCACTTAAGATCTTTTCATGTTTAGCACCTGCATTGTTAGTTGTACTGGCTGCATTATTACTTTATGAATAACCCATTTGATCTTCTGTTTCTCAGTGAATTTGCTGCATAATGTTGTTCCTACAGTCTGTCTGGTAATATCAATTCTAACTTTGTCTCGTATGGTTAAGATGGCAGCTTTTCTCAGGCATCTCATTTCACATGTGGTAATTTTACGTAGGTTAGCCTCCGATAATGTTCAAGTCTGGCACTGGTAGGAAAATGCTGTTTATATTATGTTTTTTGGCGCTTGCACTTATGTTTGGATGTCTTAACTCTTTGAGTCCCAAGGAACGCAGCATACGTTCAGATTCCTACCTAGAATCCCAATGAACGCAAGATGCGCCGATTTTACATCTCTCTTGACTACCCCTTGGGCCTGTGATGCCAAACCCTCTGGGACTCAAAGAGTTAATAACAGTGTCAGTTGGTATACAAGTGCACTGGCTCATTGGTATCTTGTACAAATCTCCACTTACTGAAATGTGTGTGATCTATTGCTATGTGTGGATGCAAACTGGAAATAAGTAATTACATTGTGAAAAACTCTAGATGTGGTTTTCTTAATACTTGCTTATGTGTTACACATTTTAATCGATCCATTTATTTGGTGGATAGCCAACACATCCCTTAAAATATTAAGAGAAATATATTTACAAATATTTATCAATTATCAATTATTTATGACCTGCCTAAGAGAAAAAAGTTATAGGGTCAAGATCAAATCCGGACCTGTCTGTTAAATTCATGTAATGTCTGAGGAACTAAAATGTATTCACCTCTTATTTCGATTTCTTTCCCTTTGATTCTATAAATGTTAACACCTTTGATAGCAAGCAATTTATTAACTATAGATGTATTAATTACCTTACCCTGTCCATATCTTTTATCTATTTGTTACTTTCCCAACTAGTTTTGTTCCACGCTGCTGTTGAATTACCCTCTTGTAGTCCTTCACAATAACTTTGGAATCTTTTTAATCCACCTAGATTTGTTACTTTAAACCATTCTATCCAACATGTTACTTTAACTCCTATTTATTAATACAAAAAGAAGCAAGTGTCCACTGTCTGTGAACTAAGACTCAAAGGGTTAATCTACCTACGATTTTTTTCCAATCAATCCGTCCATAAACTAATGCCAGCACTACTAATAATGTATTAGTATAATTATATATAATTAAAAAATTATAATTAACAGATATAATCACATCACTGAAAATTTTAACACAGAAATTATCAGATCACATACCAAACCTAACTCTCGTTCAAGCATGCCGTTTGAAACACAGTTTACAGAGTTTACTCCCCGTATTTCAAAAGTTTCAGCCCTCACTGCCTCCAACTGGATGTCTTCTCCTCTCCCATTGCAAAACTCACGAAGTGAAGATTGCTGAAGTGTAGAAGATCTAAATATTTCTAATCAAGATCATGTAAAACACATCCAGTAAGTTCTGAAAAGGCACAACATACTTCCAGCCACATTTGCCAGGCAAAATTGTAAAGCACAGTAAAGATTAATTTAAATCATCGGCAACTTACCTGTCTTTCAAAAGCAAAAATAAAATCTGCCGCTTCAGCTGTTTAGCTAGACGTTGTTTGATTCTAAAGTTCTCAAACTAATGTTTTCAAAACTTCGCTAATCGTTTGTTTACAGAGTCCACCTACAGCAAATTTGTTACCGAGTTTCCGAGAAATAAGTAACTAGCAATTCTTGTCTGATCCGCGACAGAAAAAAAAAACACTACCGGTAGATGTAAACTCGATCTTCTTTCTCATCCATAACGGCTCTCCCAGCGCGCCGACAGCAGACGCCAGTTTTATACTCTCAACTTTAACCCTGCGGCATTGAACTCGAGTTTCAGCCTTCACCTTCGAATCCAGGCCAGCAATTTCAGACAATAAAAAGAATTTAACTACATAGGTACGGAAATTTAGGACGGAAAATAAACTGGTTCACTGAATTCTTAAAGTACCCGACCATTGTTACTTTAACTCTTTGTTCTTCTTCGTTTTCGCGTTCAGGAAGGTCTGGTAGTTTGTCCACCGCTGGGCTATAGTCTTGCTTTAGAACCTGAGCATTGCGGCGCATCCGTTTTACAGATTTGTATGCAAACGTCTGATTCCTTGCCTCTCAGGCAGAAGCACTCCGACCTCGAAGAAAAGTCCCTATTGGTCAACTCTTACAACATGCTTGCTGGGGAGGCAGTGGGTCTATTCTTGTCCCCCCCCCCCCCCACCCCCCCCCTTTTTTTTTTCCTACAACCGGGCCCGGAAACTTTTAACTCTTTCAGTACCAGTCAATTCACCATACGTTCATTATTAGTCTAAAGTCAGCGCACATTTCTATGATAGTTACTTTAACCAATAATAAACGAAGTGTTAGTTTCCCTGCTTCTCCTCCACGACGTTGTTTTAACCAATATTGGAGAAGGGTCCTTTCTTTCATTACTTGCTCTTATGTACCCATTGTTCTGGTAGAGAAAACCTCCTATTTTTTGTATCTAGAAGTGTAGATTACATTTAGATATTTATTTACATATCTGCCCGGCTGGCTAGCGTAGTTGGCTAAACCGGATTGCACGGTGACCGGGTGACGAACTCCTTGTAGTCCGGGTTCACGCCCGGGGGTAGGCAGAAAAGCCACATTTTCTCCCATATTTACGGTATTTATCATGGAATCAAAGCCGAAGGATTGCGATATCCATAATAAGGGTTAACAACTCGTGGCTTCTGGATACTAACAGACAG